GCCGGCCTCCCTGTCGAGAGGCCGGCAGAGATGATCCCAGATGTGCCCCGGGGGGGCCGGGGGCCCCTGGTCTTGCTCGAGGGGCACATCTAGGGGTCAGGCTGCTCGGTGGGCATGTCTCACGCGGCGAGGCCACCTCCCGTCTGGCCTCACCCACCCCTCGCTGCCACGATGGCAGGGCGCGCTGGTGGCGGGTCTGGGGGCTTCGGGCTCACACTGCAGGGGCCGCTGGGACACACCCCTCCCCACCCAGGGTACATCCCAGGGGACAGGAGGGGAGCACGGGACACGAAAACCTCGTCGAAAGAATTTGGGATGGAACGTGGCCTAATCCACACAACGCTTTTTCATTCTAGTTTCCATCCATCCGTGTGTGTGTGTGTGTGTGGGGTGCGTGTGTGGGGGTGTGTGTGGGGGGGGTGCGTGTGTGTGTGGGGTGCGTGTGTGTCTGCGTGCGTGTGTGTGAGGAAGCGTGGGGGTGTGTGTGTGACAATGTATGCATGTGTCCACAGGGATGCATGTGGGTGTGTGTGTGCTTTTAGGTGGGATGGTGTGTAAGATTTTGGGGTGAGTGGGTTTTGGGAGGATGGACTTTGTGCCAATTGAACTCCATTCGTGCCTGTTTCGGTTCTCGTGTTCCGCGTCCCCCCCTGTGGTCTCAGTGGCCCCCAACTAGCTCCATGGTGACTCAGGGTCGGGGGGCCCGAGCGGACGGCGAGTCGGTGGCTGCTGTTGTTAGGAACCAGTCACACCGAAAGTGCCCAAGGGTCTCGTCTGGGCAGGGAGGTGGCCGCGAAGCTGTGACATGCCCACCTGAAAATTTAGGGGTCCCCTCCTTTCTCCTAGATGGTCAGGGACTCGAGACCACAGCCAATTTGGCTCGAAGTCCTAAAGGGGATGAGAAGGAGGGGCGGGGGCGCCAAATTCTTTTATTTTGCCAATGGTTTCTAAGCCAGTTTTTTTTTTAGTATATTTTCAGCCAATTGATTCTATGGGTTTTTTTCTGCTAATTCACTTTTCTGGTGTTTCTAAAAAGCCAATCAGTTTTAAGGGGGCTGATTTGAGTGTGTGTGTGTAAGTGCGCAAGTATGTAGACGTGTGTGTGTGCATGTGGGTGTGTGTGAGTGTGTGACCACGTATGTATGTTATACATGAGTGTATGTGTGTGTGTGGGGTGTGTGTGTGTGTGTGTGAGTGTGTGACCACGTATGTATGTTATACATGAGTGTGAGTGTGTATGTGTGTGTGTGGGTGTGTGTGGGTATGTATATGTGTGAGTGTATGTGGGTATGTATGTGTATGTGTGAGTGAGTGAGTGTGTGTGTGTGTGTGTGTGTGTGTGTGTGTGTGTGAGTGAAGGGTTTATGTTTTCTATTTGTTGTATAATTTAGGAAGCCAATTTTAGGGAGATAATTTGGGAGGCCAAATTCGGGGGAATAATTTGGGGGGGCCAAAT